ACCAAAACTAACCAAAACTAACCAAAACTAACCAAAACTAACCAAAACTAACCAAAACTAACCAAAACTAACCAAAACTAACCAAAACTAACCAAAACTAACCAAAACTAACCAAAACTAACCAAAACTAACCAAAACTAACCAAAACTAACCAAAACTAACCAAAACTAACCAAAACTAACCAAAACTAACCAAAACTAACCAAAACTAACCAAAACTAACCAAAACTAACCAAAACTAACCAAAACTAACCAAAACTAACCAAAACTAACCAAAACTAACCAAAACTAACCAAAACTAACCAAAACTAACCAAAACTAACCAAAACTAACCAAAACTAACCAAAACTAACCAAAACTAACCAAAACTAACCAAAACTAACCAAAACTAACCAAAACTAACCAAAACTAACCAAAACTAACCAAAACTAACCAAAACTAACCAAAACTAACCAAAACTAACCAAAACTAACCAAAACTAACCAAAACTAACCAAAACTAACCAAAACTAACCAAAACTAACCAAAACTAACCAAAACTAACCAAAACTAACCAAAACTAACCAAAACTAACCAAAACTAACCAAAACTAACCAAAACTAACCAAAACTAACCAAAACTAACCAAAACTAACCAAAACTAACCAAAACTAACCAAAACTAACCAAAACTAACCAAAACTAACCAAAACTAACCAAAACTAACCAAAACTAACCAAAACTAACCAAAACTAACCAAAACTAACCAAAACTAACCAAAACTAACCAAAACTAACCAAAACTAACCAAAACTAACCAAAACTAACCAAAACTAACCAAAACTAACCAAAACTAACCAAAACTAACCAAAACTAACCAAAACTAACCAAAACTAACCAAAACTAACCAAAACTAACCAAAACTAACCAAAACTAACCAAAACTAACCAAAACTAACCAAAACTAACCAAAACTAACCAAAACTAACCAAAACTAACCAAAACTAACCAAAACTAACCAAAACTAACCAAAACTAACCAAAACTAACCAAAACTAACCAAAACTAACCAAAACTAACCAAAACTAACCAAAACTAACCAAAACTAACCAAAACTAACCAAAACTAACCAAAACTAACCAAAACTAACCAAAACTAACCAAAACTAACCAAAACTAACCAAAACTAACCAAAACTAACCAAAACTAACCAAAACTAACCAAAACTAACCAAAACTAACCAAAACTAACCAAAACTAACCAAAACTAACCAAAACTTTCTTTTTTTTTTTGGTATTTTTATAGCGGGGGAAAATCTTCAAAAGACTCCGGCCAAAATGGTCACCGAGAGTGCCCGATTCGGTCCCATCACGGGTTCCGCCTACGGACTAAAAACCCTCGCTGTTTCCTTAAACTTTCCAATAACCAAATCGAAACTCAAAATCTTCCAAGTTGAGCCTCCAAATTGAATTCCTCTAGTTTCCCATGTTCCAAGGTCACCAACTGACACACGATTCAGCGCCGTTTAATAAGCCCACGGCACTTGGCTTCGCCTCGATTACGCTCTGAAAACTAAAAGAAAATACATGAAAAAGGCGAACGCAAAAGGAAAAAGTTCTCCAATTACGTTCGCCATTTTTCCTTCCGTCGATCAAAGGGTCTTGTTTGAGCGACAAGACATCCTAAGCTCGACAGATCGCACTCATCTCCCATAGGATAAAACGAATGGGCGGACAACTAAAACGGCTCGTGCCGGCAACGTGCCGAACGTGTCCCGCAGTAGACGTCGATCCTCGGCCATTTTCCTGACGCTCGAGCAATCGGTACGACGAAGACAATAGAGACGGGCTCCGAGTAAAAGCTCGGACCGTCAGCTTGACTCGAAGGCGATCTAACAATCAGGAAAAAGTTGCCTCTCCGTGGAGATGTCAATTCACACATCGATGTGATACAGTTCTAAGCCATCTCCCATCTGTCGGATACCTGAAGGTGCGGACAACCGAAATGGCACGTGCCGGCAACGCGCCGAACGGTGTCTTGCAACCAACGTTGATCCTCGGCCATTTTCCTGACGCTCGAGCAATCGGTACGACGAAAACAATACAGACGGACTCCGAGTAATAGCTCGGACCGTCAGCTTGCCTCGAAGGCGATCTAACGATCAGGAAAAAGTTGCCTCTCTGTGGAGATGACTTTTTACACATCGATGTGATAAAGTTCTAAGCCATCACCCATCTGTCGGATACCTGAAGGTGCGGACAACCGGAAGGGCACGTGCCGGCAACGTGCCCGACGGTGTCTCGCAACCTACGTTGATCCTCGGCCATTTTCCTGACGCTCGAGCAATCGGTACGACGAAGACAATACAGACGGACTCCGAGTAATAGCTCGGACCGTCAGCTTGCCTCGAAGGCGATCTAACGATCAGGAAAAAGTTGCCTCTCTGTGGAGATGACTATTTACACATCGATGTGATAAAGTTCTAAGCCATCACCCATCTGTCGGATACCTGAAGGTGCGGACAACCGGAAGGGCACGTGCCGGCAACGTGCCCGACGGTGTCTCGCAACCGACATTGATCCTCGGCCATTTTCCTTGCTCGAACAACCGCTGCGTCGAAGACTTTAAAGACGGGCTCCGAGTTAAAGTTCGGACCGTCAGCTTGACTCGAAGGCGATCTAACGATCAGGAAAGAGTTGCCTCTCTGTGGAGATGACTATTTACACATCGACGTGATAACGTTCTAAGCCATCACCCATCTGTCGGATACCTGAAGGTGCGGACAACCGAAAGGGCACGTGCCGGCAACGTGCCCGACGGTGTCTCGCAACCGACATTGATCCTCGGCCATTTTCCTTGCTCGAACAACCGCTGCGTCGAAGACTTTAAAGACGGGCTCCGAGTTAAAGCTCGGACCGTCAGCTTGAACGTCAGCTTGACTCGAAGGAAAAAGTTGCCTCTCGATGGAGATGTCTATTTACACCACGCAAGTGCGAACAATCGAAACGGCGCGTGCATGCAGCGTGCCGACCAATGTCTCGCGACCAACGTCGATCGACGAAAATTTTCCTAACATTCGCTCCGTCAAGTCAGCTTGAATCGACGGCGATATATAGATAAGAAAAATTTTCCTATGGCAGGGAGAAGTGAGTCTACACACGCGACAAGGCAGTCGCGCTCGAGACCATCTCACCTATTATAGGTAATGGAATATTCCTTAGTCCTCCGAACGTTTCATGTAAAACCCGCGTAATAACGGCAGCCGCGAGCGTCATAGAAGTCGGAAATTGGGGTGAAGCTTTCGATTTGATTGTTGCGAGTGCTCGTGCGACAACTCGCACAAACCAAACACTCGTACGAGCACTCGCACCAGTACTGGCACCACCACTCGCACGCCTACTCTCACGACAACTCGCACGAGCATTCGCACGCGCACTCGCACGCCTACTCGCACGACAACTCGCACGCCTACTCGCACGACCACTCTCACGCCTACTCGTACGCGCACTCTCACGCGCGTACGGCTAGTGCGGTACGTTAGGTTATAGCGCTTTTCGAAACAAATAACAAGAACACTACTGTTTATTTTAATTGATAGTTTTGGTTTATTTTGGTTAGTTGGCACCGACGGTCAGCTAACAAAACCAACAAATAAAAAAAACTTTCAAAAATATTTATAATTTAGCGGAATCAAAGCGAAAGCTTCACTCGAATTTCAGATTTCTACGACGTTGGCGGCCGCCGTTATTAGGCGTGTTTTACATAAACCGTTCCGAAGACTAAGGAATGGTCCGTTACCTATAATAGGTGAGATGGTCTCGAGCGCGACCGCCGCGTCGTGCATATAGACACTTCTCCCTTCGCAGAGCAAAGTGCTTTTCCGATCGTTAGATCGCCTTCGAGTCGACCGTTTAGCGCGATTAATTGGCTCGCTTAACATTTTCGTATCGTTGGTTCCATTTTTGAAGAAAAATTGGTTTCCTTCGTCGGTACGAGAAAGTAGACCGTTTTTCGTTTGCCGGCGGATCGTCTTCGTGGCAGCGATTGCTCGAGCGTTCGCAATCATTTTAAGGCTCCGCACCTTATACAGCTAGATCGCGAACTTAGCGGGTGTTTGAAAGTAAGATTTGGCACTTCGCGGTTCAAAAGCGATCGCCAGATTATTTTTCTTTTGAAAAATTTGCGATAACTCTCCTCTCACCGAGCGAGTTTATATACAAATCCGGAACGTTTCTTTCAAGAAATCTCGTGTCGCTTACAATCTAGCGAAGAGTGATCGAGAGAATGTCCGAAAATTTCCGTCGATCGACGTTCGTTGCGAGTCACATCGATTCGACGCGCCGCATATTAAAGCTTTAATAACGAATGAATAATATATGTATGGTGTCGGGAAGGGTTCCTTTCTGTACTCGTACGCTCTAACCACCAAGTATGGTTCTATTTAAAAATATTTAACGCGTTTGCCCGATCGTCGCCGTGCGTGGCGGCGGCGGCGCGCGTGATATTAAGAACAGCTGGTTGATCCTGCCTGTAGTCATATGCTTGTCTCAAAGATTGCATGTTTTCAGCCGAATTAAAGTGAAACCGCGAGAGGCTCATTAATCAGTTATGGTTCCTTAGATTGTACCCACAATTAATTGGATAAATGTGGTAATTCTAGAGCTAATACAAGCAGCAGATGTCTTACCGGTAACGAAAGGACCGCTTTTATTAGATCAAAACTGGGTGAAACTAAATAACTTGAAGCTGATCGCACGGTCTCGCACCGGCGACGCATAATTCAAATATGTGCCTTATCAACTATCGATGGTAGGTTCCGAGCTTACCATGGTCGTAACTGGTAACAGAGAATCAGGGTTCGATTCCGGAGAGGGAGCCTGATAAACGGCTACCATATCCAAGGAGGGCAGCAGGCATGCAAATTACCCACTCCCGGCACGGGGAAGGTAGTGACGAAAAATGATACGGAACTCTCTCGAGGCCCCGTAATCGGAATGAGTACACTCTAATCCCTTTAACGAGGATCAATTGGAGGGCAAGTCCAATAGCGTATATTAAAGTTGTTGCGGTTAAAAAGTTCGTAGTCGAATTGTGTCTCGCGCCGCCGGTTCACTATTCGCGGTTTCAACTGGCGCGTCGCGAGACTTCCTGCCGGTGGACTTGGCTCGGTCCGACTCAATCCTGCCGCGGTGCTCTTCACGGAGTATCGAGGTGGGCCGGTACGTTTACTTTGAACAAATTATAATGCTTAAAGCAGGCTAAAATTTTGTCTGAATACAGAATGCATGGAATAATGGGACAAGACCTCGGGTCCGTTTCGTTGGTTTTCGCATGGTAATTATTAATAGGAGCGGATGGGGGCATTCGTATTGCGACGTTAGAGGTGAAATTCTTGGATCGTCGCAAGACGGACGGAAGCGAAAGCATTTGCCAAAAACGTTTTCATTGATCAAGAACAAAAGTTAGAGGCTCGAAGGCGATCAGATACCGCCCTAGTTCTAACTGTAAATATGCCAGCCAGCGATCCGCCGAAGTTGACTCGGCGGGACGCTTCCGCGAAACCAAAGATTTTGGGTTCCGGGGGAAGTATGGTTGCGAAGCTGAAACTTAAAGGAATCGATGGAGGGGCAACACCAGGAGTGGAGCCTGCAGCAAATTTGATTCGAAAGGGGAAAACCCCGCCTTTCCAGGACTCCGAAGGGATGGACAGATTACAGCTCATTCTTGATTCTGTGGGTGGTGGTGCATGGCCGTTTTTAGTTAATCGGGCGATTAATTTCTATAACGAACGAGACTCTAGCCTGCTAATTTTTACTGTCTGCGGACCAACTTTTCTTAGAGTGACAAAGCGGCCTTTGGCTGCACGAGATTGAGCAATAACAGATCTGTGATGCCTTTGGATGTTCTGGGCCGCACGCGCGCTACTCTGAAGGAATCAGCGCACAGTCTCTGGGTGAGAGGCCCGGGTAACCCGCGGAAAATCCTTCATGCTAGGGATTGGGGTTCCTAATTGTTCCCCAAAAAAGAGGAATTCCCAGTAAGCGCGAGTCATAAGCTCGCGTTGATTACGTCCCTGCCCTTTGTACACACCGCCCGTCGTTACCACCGATTGAATGATTTAACGAGGTCTTCGAACCGAACCGCCGATATGTTCCGACGTCGTCGATGTGTTCGGAAAGTTGACCGTACTTAATCATTAGGATCGTTGTAGTGTTAAAAAAATAACTTGTACTTTGTACTCGCTGAGTCGATAATTTCTCGCACCCGACACGGACGTTTATACGTACGAAGTCAGTGCAAGCGGAGACATGTCGGGTACCTGGACGAGCTAAAAGCGCGAGACCTAGCTTTGCGCTTATCGTCGACAAGGTGTGAAGGATTTTCGCCCGAGAACGTATATACATATACGTTAAAAGTTAGGCGCGGGTCGTCTGGAAATAAAAGTTCTTTCGGATAGACCGGCCCTAAAAATTAAAAGTTTGACTTCGAAGACCACTCTGCTCTTCCGTAGAGATACAAGTTGAAAATAAGACGCAGGTCGTCCGAATACCATACTTCGTTCGGATAGACCGGCCCTTGTCAGAAAAATTTTACGTCCAAAGCGAATGGATGCTCTTCCGTAAAAAAGTCCTATATATATATATAAAACGAGAGAAACCGCACTCCCGAACTAAGCCAAAAAGGCTAAAAATAATGTGCGCCGGTGGTCGCACCATTCCTAGTGGATTCTTGTCAGTGTGACGAGACCCCTGTAACAGGGAAAAAAGACACAAAGGTACATGGCGAACGTAAAAGAAAAACTTTTGCGTTCGCCCTTTTTTTTAAACAGTTTTTTTTGAGACCTTACTTGCTTTTAGCGACCGTCGTTAGTACCCTCAATGTACTTAAGGTGACTCATCCCATTGGTGTCCCTTTGTTCCGATAATAATCCTGCCCTTAGTACTAGAGGATCCGCATTTCGAAGACAGAAAATTTTATGGCGAACGTAAAAGAAAAACTTTTGCGTTCGCCCTTTTTTTTTCAGTTTTCTTGAGACCTTACTTGATACAATGTACTTAAGGTGACTTATCCTATTGGTGTTCCGTTGTTGCGATAAAATAATCCTGCCCATAGCACTAGATGAGCACTTCGAAGGCAGAAAGATAGATAGCGAACGTAAAAAATATTTTATTTAAAAAAGTATAAAAATAGTTTTTAAAAAAATAATCTACACGTTATTAAATAACTCTAGTCGTCGGCTAGGCTAGGCTAAGCTCGAATAACGTAGCGCGCGCGCGAAACGAATCACGGCGCATAAACGACGCGACCCCATTGTTAGTAATAAAAATATTTGTAGAAATGTGTAGGACATTACACTGTACAACTGAAACTATTAAGTATTAATAAATTTCGATTATGTTAACGTAATTTTAGGAATGCCGAAGGTGCCTTACTTCCTTCAACTCAGTATGTACCTCTAGGCAGATTTGGAGGCAATCGAATGTACCTGTTGAACTGAAAGACGACTAGAGTTCTTGGAGCAAGCGAGCGACCTAGATATTAGTTTGGTTATACATTTTGGCAAAAATACTTGACATGAGCCATTTTTGTCTCAAAGTAGACCCTTCGATAAAATTTTAACCTATATTTTTTTGGAAACAATAATTGACCGGATTCATAGGAATTCATGTGTCCTGTATGGATTTAGCAACCGATGTACGTCCCGTATCTTTAAATTAAGCAGCGTTTGTTTAAGCTAAACCAAAGGGATTTTTATTTTACAATTTGACCTTTTAAAATAGATATCTTTAAGTAATGGGCGCTGTTCTTGTCTAAAATTTTAATGCAATTTCAATTTTTTCTTACTTTTTATGCTGATAACTACTTAGGTAACTTTTACTTTTTGCTTATTGAGTATGCTAGGTGGCCGGTCAATTTTTTGCATAATCCAAAGTATTTTGACAACCATATCCTCAAAATAGTCGCAGCTGAAGTATTGGATAAAGAAATATAGTGCTTTTTTTTTTGTTATTTGGTTCTGTTTTTTTTGTTTTATAGATCTATTTATTCAAATTTGTTAGTTTGTTTAGTTAGTCTATAAACTTTAATTATTTATTTTTGTTTGGGACACCCTGTATTAACAAAATTATAATATTTTAAATCTTCAGTAGTAGAAAACCTTTTGTACGAAACTTTTGTGCTAGGGATTTATAGATCGTATAGCGGATGGTTTTATTTGGCACTCGATGTACACTGGTCCTTTATATTCGAAGAAAAGCTAATGGGGCCTAAACTACCTACCTGTATTCGCGTAAGCGGTCCTAAAACTTGGTCTTTGACGGCATCACTGCAAAAATTGTATTTTCGTTCCCTCTTTTATTCTGTGGTATGATTTGGCAAGTGTGTCCTCGAATTTTTTATTTTGTCCTTAACCTCAAAAAATAATTGTTGTCTGTTACCTCGAACAGTGGGACGGCGAAATTGACACAAATCGATTCAAATTATGGCCACGGATCAGGTGGCGAATCCTTCCTTGCAAAAGTCCCACATTTGCACAGTTTCCGGATGCGGTGCGTCTTTCACCAGGCCCGGAAAACTCGCCACTCACATGCGAACACACACCGGGGAGGTTGGTATTTAATCTTGTGGCTCTTTTAAATATTCAATTGGCCATTTGCAGAGACCGTTCAGATGTGACCTTGAAGGTTGTTTGAAAAGTTATACAAACTCGCATCACTTAAAGAGGCACCGATCTATTAGTCACGATAAGGTCGTCTCGACGCAAATTATGTGTACCTTTGAAGGCTGCGGCATGGTATTTTACCATAAATACAATTTAAAGCGCCACTTAAACAGAAGCCACAACCCAGACTAGAAGCCTTTCAAGTGTAAAGACTGCGACGAATCGTTCAAGAAGAAGTTCCGCTTGCAACAACACAGGTGTTCTCATGGCAGCCCCGCTCCCTTCGAGTGAGTAGGTTTGTTGAGTTTTCATTTTTTTTGCGATGTTTTTTAAGGTGCCATCTATGTCCTCTTTCAGATACGGACTATCAAAAGTTTCATAAGCACTTGCGGAATCATCAGACTTATAATTGCGACTGTGGTAAAAGCTTTAGTAGGTGGTCCGAAATTTGTTCCCCCCGACGAAAGGAATGCACAGTTAAAAAGGGTAAAACAAGTGCTCAGTTTGGGTAACTAACTAAACTATATTTTTAGTAAACAAGTGCATAATTTGCGGTAAGATTTTTTCAACCAAAGCGAATCTGTCTCAACACGCCTTGGTTCACATTGAAGAGAGCAAGAGGGAGATTCATAAATGTCCCTACCTGGACTGCACGAGGAGTTATCAGAGGAGAAATAATTTGAACTACCATATTGCGCGTTTCCATCAGAAGATGTCTGACAAAGTTCAATGTGGCGAGTCCAACAGAGTGTCTCGAAATTAGTACCCTAATAACTATAACAGCTTGTTCAGGTGGACATTTTGCAAACGAGTGGATCGGTCGAGATGGTCAGCTTGTTCGCCTGACTTAAACCCACTAGACGAGCGATGGCGAACCAATTTTTATTGGCACCCACACAATTTTTTTTATGTTATCTGATTAAATTAAATTAAATTTAAAATTTTTACCTACTCTACTTAACCTTCACCTGACTGAAACCGGGTCATAATTGACTCGATATTTACTTTTTCCTTTATAACTGTTTTGATATTCTGTGTCTTAATTTGTTTTGTAAAATTTACTAATCAAATAGCGAAAGAAATTATAAATAAACAAAAATGACATTTATCAAGCTTATACGAGAATACGAGGCTTTTGACTTAATCAAAGCGTTCCAAGTTAAATTACGAATACAAAAAATGTTTTTTTCTAAAAGTGAATCGAAAAGTCAAATAAAGAGTCATTAACGAAATAATTTTCAATATTTGAGATACGTTTATATAGAAAACTGGTGTCTCTTCTGGACGTAGAATTCGGTGTTATCATTTCGGGACGCATTGCATTCAGTTTATTGAGCAGAGACGAGTTTGACAGTTTTAGACAGCTGTCCGACACGATTAACGTCTAGCACTTGAAACAACGTAATCCAGGAACTATAAACACGATAAGTTCAGCTAATTGCTGTTTTCATTTTCAGCTACGTCGACGATTTCAACGGCAGCATGTAAAACCTGATGATATTTGATTTTTTGCAATCTTCGCTGCAAATCGCTTCGATTTTGACTCAAGTATTCGGGGTACAAAAATGTCATGTCTACCGTAACCATCGAAAATCATAACCAAACGAACGCGAAATAACAATGCTTCAACTTCAATTTAGATTTTTAATTTTTTAAAATACTTACGTTGCTCGGAGAAGCTTGAAATTTTTATCAAGGATGGAGGTCAATGAGGTCTATTCACAGATACCATAAAACTCCCCCCACCCCACTCCATTCAAATATTATTAATTATTTTTGAAAAATTTGCAGCCTTATGTATAAACCGCTCTTGGCGAGAAACGGTGAAACTTGTGGAAATCTTTTTGATATCGTTAGATGAGAAAGGACCAAGGTACTTAACGCGTAAATTTCAATTTTTCAAAATAATAAGTAAATAAGATATAAAACGTTAAAAATTGATTATTAATTTTTAAGTCAATTTTTCCATTTAAAATAAGATTTTAAGGTTATTTCTCGGCCCGTACTGCTCCGAGTAAGCTGAAATTTTTGCGAAATATACACACTAATGAGGTCTATTCGTAGATACTATAACGTCCCCCCCAACACCCCCCTTTTTGGTTAATATTTGCATTTTATTATTTTCGTATTTATCATGTTTTTCTTCAAAAATTTTAAATTTTTAATTTTTTAAACTATCTACGTTTCTCCTAGAAGGTTGACATTTTTATCAAAGTTAGAGGTTAATAAGGTCTATTCGTAAATACCATAACGTCCGTCTCCAGCCCTCCCCATCATTAATTAATATTCTAAAATTATAATTTTCATGGATATCGTGATACTCCTCAAAAATTCAAATTTTTATTTTTTTTAAATACCTGCATTACTGCGAAGGGATTGATTTTTTTTTTAAAGATGGAAGTCAATGAGGTCTATAAATAAAAATTATAAAGTCCTCTTCAGGTCTCACCATTTAATTATAAATAATCATTAATACTAATTTTTAAAAAATTGCAGTCTCCGACATAAACCGTTCCCGACCAAAAACCATGCAACTTGTGTAAGATCTTTTGGTATCAATAAATAGAGAAAAGACCAAAGTTTATAATGTATAGGTTTTTAAATTAATAGAGAAATAAATAACGGAAATATTAAACCTTTTATGAAAAAAATCCTTTTTTTTGTTAATATTTCGTCCCCCGGAAGGACTAAGAAAGTTATAATTAAACAACTGACTATTTTTTTTAATACCCCCCCGACCCCCTATCTTCGTGCCAAATTTGAGCCGGATCGGTTAACATCGACCTCGATTCAAATTTTCATGAGTGGGTCGTGATTTTGTCCAAAAATTTATGTTTTTGGTTTTTTAAACTACCTACGTCGCTCCGAGAAGATTAAAATTTTATCAAACGATGGAGGTCGATGAGGTCTATCCGAAGATATAAAAAAGTCCCCCCCAGCCCCCTCCATTTAATTGCAATTAAGCATTTTTAAAAAATTTGCAGCCTCCCACAAAAGCCGCTCCCCACGGCAAACGATACGACTTGGATGAAACTTTTTGATATAGTCGGATAGAGCAAGGACCAAGGTATAAAACGTATAAATTTCAAATTCTCAAAATTGTAAATAAGCGAGATATTGAACTTTGAATATCGACCATCGATTTTCGGGCCGAGCTCGAAATGCGATTTCGAGGTGATTTCTCAAAACTGGATAAAATTTTGCATGGGGGGGTTTTCGAGGACGAGAAATTCGAATTTGTAATTATTTTTTGAAAATATCCATAAATTATCGATGATTTATCAATATAACCCATTTTCCCGTATACCCTGCATTTATAATGTTTTTTTAATTTTTTCAAATACTTACGTTGTTCCGAAAAGGTTAAAATTTTTATCAAAGATAGAGGGCAATGAGATCTATCCACAGATACCATAAAGTTCCCTCCAGCCCCCTCCGTTTAAATATAATTAATTATTCAATATAAATTTATAACCCTATGAAAAAACCGTTCCTGACGACAAACGGTATAACTTGTGGAAATCATTTCAGTATCCTTTTATAGAGAAAGGACCAAAGTATCTACCACATAAATTTCAAACTCTCAAAATTATAAACAAATAAGATATAAAACATTCAAAATTGATTATTGATTTTTAAGCCGATTATTCCATTTAAACTGAGGTTTTTAGGTTATTTCTCAACCCATATGAATCCGAGGAAGTTGAAATTTTCACAAAAGATACACACCAATGAGGTCTATTCGTAGATAATATAACGTCCCCCCAACCTCCCCTTTTTGGTTAATATTTGCATTTTATTATTTTCGTATTTATCATGTATTTCTTCAAAAATTTTAAAGTTTTAATTTTTTAAACTATCTACGTTTCTCCCAGAAGGTTGAAATTTTTATCAAAGTTAGAGGTCAATGAGGTCTATTCGTAAATACCATAGCATCTGTCTGCAGCCACCCCATCATTAATTAATAATCTCAAATTATAATTTTCATGGATATCATGATACTCCTCAAAAATTCAAATTTTTATTTTTTTTAAATACCTGCATTACTTCGAAGGGATTGATTTTTTTTTAAAAGATGGAAGTCAATGAGGTCTATAAATAAAAATTATAAAGTCCTCTTCAGGTCTCACCATTTAATTATAAATAATCATTAATACTAATTTTTAAAAAATTGCAGTGTCCGACATAAACCGTTCCCGACCAAAAACTATACAACTTGTGTAAGATCTTTTGGTATCATTAAATAGAGAAAAGACCAAAGTTTACAACGTATATGTTTTTAAATTAATAGAGAAATAAATATCGGAAATATTAAACCTTTTATGAAAAAAATCCTTTTCTTTGGTTAATATCATGTCCCCCGGAAGGACTAAGAAAGTTATAATTAAACAACTGACTATTTTTTTTGAATACTCCCCCGACCCCCTATCTTCGTGCCAAATTTGAGCCGGATCGGTTAACATCGACCTCGATCCAAATTTTCATGAGTGTTTGTTTGGTCGTGATTTTGTCCAAAAATTTATGTTTTTGGTTTTTTAAAATACCTACGTCGCTCCGAGAAGATTGAAATTTTATCGAAAGATGGCGGTCGAGGAGGTCTATCCGCAGATACTATAAAGTCCCCCCCAGCCCCCTCCATTTAATTTCAATTAAGCATTTTTAAAAAATTTGCAGCCTCCCACAAAAGCCGCTCCCGACGGCAAACGATACGACTTGGATGAAACTTTTTGATATCGTCGGATAGAGCAAGGACCAAGGTATATAACATATAAATTTCAAATTCTCAAAATTGTAAATAAGCGCGATATTAAACTTTGAAAATCGACCATCATCAGACACTCATTTATTTAGAACTGGTGTATTTTGTGACGGCTTTGGTCCCTTCACTGACGGCGTGCTTGGCCAACTCTCCGGGCAACAATAATCTCACGGCCGTTTGAATCTCTCTGCTAGTAATAGTGGATCGCTTATTATAATGAGCCAAACGAGAAGCTTCGGCGGCAATCCTTTCGAAAATGTCGTTTACGAACGAATTCATAATGGACATGGCTTTGCTCGAAATGCCAGTATCCGGATGAACTTGCTTCAACACTTTGTAAATGTAAATTGCGTAACTCTCCTTTCTCCTGCGTTTCTTTTTCTTATCACTCTTCGAAATATTTTTTTGAGCCTTGCCGGCTTTTTTCGCCGCTTTACCGCTTACTTTCGGTGGCATTTTCTACAATCGATTAGACGCGCGCAAAGTAACAGACTGACAAGGCCCAGGTTCGCGGTTCGCGGTGAGGACCCGCCACCTTTCCCGGTGCCCCTCCTGGGACACCGCCTCACCATGGCAGGTGTCATTCGGGTGAGCAGGGCGAAGCCCTAAGCCAGACCCTCCTGACTCTCTACCGTTTTTGAGTGTCTGCTGTCGAGGTACCGAAACTGCTATCAGTGCTTGTAATAGCAACATTCAACAACATTTATTCACTTTCGAAAGGTCACTTTCCTCATACAAGCAAAAGCCGATGTGGTAAGCGTTTATTTGTTATATCGTTTTTGGCATTAAAAAACATGGAAGATGATTATTTATCGATGAATATGTTCCACCTATGTTTAAAAAAAATCCCGAGTGGCCTCCTAAAACCCTAAAAAATGAAGAGTACCTACAGAAGAAAAAAGATGAGGGTCCAAAAAACTGAATTCTGAGTAATTGTGATTTTTATGTATTAAGACTACTCTAGAACATATACACACATATACAAAAAACATATAAATTGTCAATCCAAAAGTATAAAAAATAAACTTTGATTCTAATACAAAAAAAACTTGGCAATAAAAATGAAGGTCCATAATCTATTATCGCA